TGTTCTTTAGAGGCAAGGATGGTGAAATTCTGTCTCATTGACTTTGGGAATATTTTTAGGAGGAGAGAAATATCATTCTGTACAGGGGTGTCAAAAGAGAGTAAGACTTTCAAAGACAGGAACTGACATAGTGACAGTTACAGTGAGCATACGCATGACAGAGACCATGATGCTGGTGCAAGATAAGGCAAGGCTCAAATCTGCCGTTCACAGAGTCGCTGTGAGTGATAGGTGACTTGACTGCACCTAACAACAACAACAACAAAGAATTGATGCCTTTCATTCGCGGTGTTAACAAAGAGTATTAAGTATTCATGGACTGCCAGAATAACAATAGCTATTTTAGAGGAAGTGCAATCAAGGGGCCCCTTAGAGGCAAGGATGGTGAAATGTCATCTCACATACTCTGGGCATAGTGTACAGAGGGGTTAGACCTGGGAAAAGATTTGTGGGAAAGGCAGAAGATCAGTGAGAGAGACGATGATCTCAACCAGAAGGGTTGACACAGTGCCTACAACAATGACCAGAGCATGGAGGAGGTTGTGAGGATGGTACAGGATAGGCCAAGGTTCAACTCTACTGTTCGTAACGTCACTATGAGTCATAATTGATTTCAAGGTACCTAACAACAACAGTGTCTGAAGCTTTACTTCACACTTGGGAAGGTCAACTCTCAGTGGTGTGCACCAGGAACTAATAGGAACTGATTTTACTACAGGCCAGGTTTTCAGAAAGTTAGTCTGTAAACAACCATGTGTCATCATAAGGGAAGGCTAGCAACCACCTGATAGTGAACAGTTACAGACTATCTGGACAGGCTGGAAGTGAAGTTCCTATGGTGGGCGTATAGATTGCTTACTATCCTGTAACCCAAGGGAGGCTATCCTGTCCCTATCAGAATAGGCTATGCAATGAGGCAAGGAATACATGCAGCCTTTAAAACTGGAAATACAAGGAAATGGATGAGCCTCTAGAAGGAACAGAGTCCTGCTGATAGGACTTAGAGAGACCTATTTCAGACTTCTGACCTCTAGAATGGTAAAGTAATATAATTTTGTTCTTTTAAGCTATCACAAAGCAGGTGGTGGCGTTGTGTACCATCAAGTGGAACTGATCCATAGCTGATCCTCCAACAGGTTTTCAGAGGCAGTAAATCACATGGGAGGAGATAGCCATCCTTCTCCAGAGGAGTAACTGATGGATTTGAACCGCATGTCTTCAGCATTACAGCACAGCTTCTACCACATATATCAACAAACAGAAGCTGTACTGGATGTGGTCACCATATTGTGTCAAGAAATCTGGAGGACAACTCCCTGACCAACTGACTGGAAGAGATCCATATTTATTCCCATTCCAAGAAAAGGTGACCCAACAGTGCAAAATCCTGCTGAAGATTACCAAAAAATGACTGGAACACTACATTAACAGAGAATTGCCAGAAGTACAAACTGAGTTTAGAAGAGGTCGTGGCACTAGAGACATTATCATCACAATTACTTGCTATGCATCAAAGAGCTGCACAATAACTAAGGATGACAGAAGACTTGACGCCTTTGAGTTGTGGTGCTGGAGAAAAGTCTTGAACATACCACAGACCATCAAGAAAACAAATAGGTCTGCCTGGGAGAGGATGAAACCAAGTTTCTCTTTGGAGGTTGAGATTTTGAAGCTCTATCTTGCATACCTTGGGCACGTAGCCAGGAGGGACCAGTCTTTGGAGAAGGATATCATGCTTGGAGGAACAGCGCAGAAGAAGAAGACCCCAGATGAGATGGATTGCTACAGTAACTGGGGCAGTGGGGGTAGGTGTGCCGGAGTCAGTGGACTGGCTCAGGACAGGGCAGGCTTCAGGGTGTTGTACACAGGGTCATTATGGGTCACAGGAGATTCAACAGCACATAACAACAATAACAAGCCATCACGGTTGTGGCAATATTTACAGCAGGGCGATATTATTGGGTACCACTGAGCAGATATAGTATTCACATATTCATGTGACCCCATGTAGCTACACTATAGGATTTTCTTTTTTTTTCTATAATTATATTTTATTAATTTTCATAAACATTTACAGAGATTTTGGGTTTCCATTCATTCACCGC